GGGGGGGGGGGGGGGGGGGGGGGGGGGGTGGGGGGGGGGGGGGGGGGCATGGGGGTAGATGGGGGGGTGGAACTATCTGCGAAATTTTAACGCCGAAGGGCAGATGCAGTGGAAAAATGACTGCTTTTAGAGCACGAAGGCACATAATCCGTCATTGCGTTACTTCAAACGCTTTACACCGTATGTTGTTGCAAAAAAAACTCGGATTTTTTTTTTTTTTATTACGCTATTTAATTCATATGACGAAGCGGTTAGTTATTACTTTTATTTTCGTATGAATTGCACTAAAAATATTAATGTTTAGTTTACAGCTTAGATTCGTACACTCGTCTCAGTCGTTTATAAAAATGTAAGAAATTTATACGAGAAAATTGTCCGACCATAAGTAAGCACACGTGTATCGTTGATGATGCGTAGCTCAAGCACATATCGACGTATAATTTGGAATTTTTTCGTAGAATAAAGTAAGCTAGGACAATGGTGTTTAAGAGAGAAGCTTGAATATGTCGTTATAAAAACGAAAAACGTCGTAAATTGCGACCAAGCGGCAACTAATGATTATTTTTATGAAAATCTATCGGATAATATTCATAATACTTTATGATAATAATACTATAGTAATAATGCTTTATGAATAAAAGTTAATGAACGCTATAGTACCGCGCATAAAAAATCTCCTATTTGCATGTGAACACTGGCTTAACAAATATGTTGGAAAAAATACAACATAAAAAGCAACATAAGAAGAATTCGCTTCGCTATCGGACGCATATTTGTCTCAAACATGTGTATCCAACCTTCTTTTAAATAAATGTCGTTACACCAGTTGGCAAAAAAAAAAAAAAGGCACTGAATTAATCAATTAATATTTACTTGTTATGAGCTTTGCCTCTCTAGAAACAATGAACAAAAAAAAAAAAAAAAAAAGTCGGATTTCATAGCGCGTGTTGTACAAATTAGTCGCCAAGCCACCACTGGTAGCACCGGAGTCACTGACAAAACAAAACAAAAAAAAAAGCAGAGAAAAAAACGTAAAAGGTCCGCTCAAATTACGTTACTTGCCATTTTTATGTAATTATTCAACGTTTATTAGCTTTTCTTTGTTGCTAATGTTTAATTGTGATAAATCATTCGAGGTGACCAGTACCGTTCCGAGCGACTATCCACTTATTTATGAGACCCAAGTATACGACGAACTTGACTATGTTTTTAGAACGAATTTTTAAGTGAAATTCCAAGTATCGCGAGGTTGAGTAGGATGTGAAATTTGTTATAAATATTTTTGCGAATAACTTACGTTTAGATGTTAATATCGATGAAAACAGGAAATTATCACAATTTGATAGGAAACCAATTTTATAAAAATATTAGTTGACGCGATATTATTAATATTATTATTAATAATGAATTATTAGCACCGACTATTATTAGTTAAAGTACAATGAAATTGCAAATATTTTTTGCCATAAAGTAGCGTTAATATCATTTGTTTGTTCATTACTGCGGCTAAAATTATGAATAACAATTTTTATACTCCGTCAATTTATTATCAAAAAAGATATAAAATGGGTGGATAAAGAGTTAACATGATCTATGATAATTAAAAAATACGTATTATAAATGATGATGCATATTCTGAAAATATTAATCATAAACATTTTCGAATAAAATTGTAATAATAATTCAATTTTTGCATGTCGTAAGGATGGTAAAACAATAAATTCATGTATTACTCTGAAATGATGAAAACCTATTTAAATCAATGACGTTATTGGTATAGTTTTAACAAATTTTAAAAAGTGACAGTAATAAAATTAATCAATAATTATTGATAAATTATCCGATTTAATGATGCGATAGTATGCAAAAGAAAAAAAAATCGACAATATTCATAAAATAATATCGAAATAATTAACACACAAAACTGAATATTTGTTGTTGTGTGTGTTTGTGCGTGAGTTCGCGCGCGCGCGCGTTTATATATATATATATATATATATAGATATATAAACATAAAGAGAAGGGAAGAGAGAGAGAGAGAGAGAGAGAGAGAGATCAATTAGCATAAATGCAAAACTTCAATGACTAAAAGCATTTTACCATAAATTGACTTAATTAAAATAATTAATTATTAAATTATAATTCGCAAAATTATCCATTTTAGAATCACCGTTGATTTACCCGAGATTTACGTTATGGAGATAAGAGCACGTTTACGGTTACTATAAAAATTAATTGCAAAAACAAAATAACAAACGAATAAAGAATAAATAAACTAGTTCAAATTTATAAGATATTTGAAAGAATGAAGGTTAATTTCGTTTATGTAGAATAAAGGAGGCTGGCGAATGCATATGCAATTATCGGAGTAAAAAATGTCTATTAAACAGTGTGCGGTGAAGATCGCGAGAGGCAGATGGAAAATAAAATATAAGCTTGGCGGTCAGCGATACCGTGAATGTAAAGTAATTTGAAGAAATATTAAAAAGGAAGATATAAGGAATTTCATTACAAAAATAAAAATTGCATAGTTTCATATCGCAAAGAACAGGAATCGAATTTTTAATGATATAAAGATATTTTTCCTGGTATTATCAAAGTGATTGGAAAGCCTCCATATATATATATATATATATATTTAGACTTAAGGCTGCTACAGATTAAATATATAAGAGTCCGTGGAGTATCGCGCGAAGACTTATAAGACAATTAAAACGGTATTACAGCGAGGATTAACCGGTATCCATCCATGCCAAATGAGCCGAGCATTTAGTATTTGGTCAGGACATAAGGATCTTATATAGCACCTCAGTTTCTAAATTCAATTCCCATCTCCCGGTTGGCCGATGAAAATTTGGATTTAATCCAACAGCACGTTTCCCATAAAAGCCAACAACGCCCGATCGTTAAAAAGTGCGACGACACACAACACTGGTGTTTCCGAATGTCCAGCCAGAAATCAGCGAAAGCCACTAGTCGCTCTGCTGTTGCGCTTCGTTTCGAATCCCGCGCACCCACGCCACTTGCCGATATCTATTACCCCAGGATTTTTGCTCTCTGGACGAAAAGTGTAATGGCGCCACCGGCGGCGCAACCTGCGCGCGATACCTAAGCAAAGGTTATAAAACCGACAGCTAAAAGACGGCGGCCCGCGCTTTGATTTAAGGTGAATACTTTTTCGAGCACCTTCTTTTGGTGGACCTGCGTTCGAGGAGCGGACGCGGCCTACAAAGGGACCACCTTCTCTTCGCTTTTTTCTCTCCTCCGTTATTCCGCGCCGAAAATCGTTACGAAGAAACGTACCGGAGGAGCGGCGGCTCTTGTCCTGCCGGACTCGCAGACTCGCGTTGTTTGTTAATTTAATCGGCGGCTTAATTTGCGATGCCTACGTATGATACACTTATACATATACGCACACAGACGCGCACGTATATAGGCGTTGGAAATTGGGAGAGATTAATCGCTGCATCTTATTAGCGAGTGTGGTGATAGGCATTCCCAGGGTGCGTATATAACGAGCACGATTCTCCTCCCCGTTGTCGTCGTCGTCGTCGTCGTCGTCGTCGTCGTCGTTGTCGTTGTCGTTTAAATATTCGTAATTTTACTTAACTCCTCTCCTTATCCTCCTATTTTGTCGTAAGCTCGGACATTGTTAATGAATCTTTCATTTATCGTTGGTTGCCATTGTGTTGGCATGTGTCATTAGTGCAAGCGAGCCTTACCACATGCTTCTATACATTGTAAAATTTCACTCCACGTGATGTATCTTCCATCAACATCGCTTTTCTATTTTTAATATTAGTCAGCTGGTCTTTATCTAATGGCTTTAATTGCTTTTATTGCTTTCTATGGTCATATGAGTTTTATCCTTTATCGATATTTTCATTTTTGATTTCGACTGTGAATTTTTCAAAACTTTGCGTACTTATATTAATAACTACA